AGGAGAACAGGTCCTAGTACAGAGATTGTGGAGTCACAACAAGAAAAGTTAAAGAGAGGTTGTAATAGGGAAGAAGGTCACTGATAGAAAAGAAGACGCTAAGGTGGTAGTTGGAAGTAAAAGAGGAAGTGATTGTGACTAAAATAAAGCTTGGTAGCTTGAAAAAAAGTTAACCCGAATGGCTCAAGATTTTTTTTTTTTTTTTTTGGTTGCTTTTCCTTTTCCCCTCTGTTTTCTTTATGGAACAGACAGAAGAAGAAGACGAAAAAGAAAAGAAGACGAGAAGATGGAGAGGAGAAGAGAAGAAAAAGGAGAGGAAGAGGAGCCAAGTTGCTCCAAATTTGTGTAGCTAGCAAAACAGATGGCCAAATTAGAAAATCTCTCTTAGCAAATCAAGGGAACAAACATGGTACTCTCTCTCTCTCCACAACTAAACCAAAGCCACTGAAACACAATCCTTGTGTGAGAGAGAGAGGAGCGTGGATGGAGATCACCATGGACGAAGAGGCTGAAGGAGAGGCTGAAGTTAGATCTTGATTTTGGGTTTGGATTTTTTGATTTTGTGGGTTGATTTTGATTTTGATTCTGATTTTGATTCTGAATCTGTGGATTTAGATCTTGATTTTGGATTGATTTTGTTCAGAACTCAAACCCATTTTACTTTGTCAAAGCAAAAAAAAGAAAAGGAGGGGAGGGGAGGGGGGGGGGAGAGAATTGTGTAAGGAAAAAGAAAAAAAAATATAAAAATCGAACCATTCGAGTCTTATAATTCAAGCTACGTAGCACGGTTGTTGTGACTATGACAAGCATCACATTGAAGCAAGTGAGAAACCTTCATTGTTGTAGTTATATTCCATTCTAGCATCCTTAAGCAACATTCTGAATATTAGATGATTTGTAATCATAAACTTTTGCCTCATAGAAAAAATACCTTAAAGCTTAGATGGAGATTTCTCACAACTTCCAAGATCGATCAACAACACATCCAAGTAAGGAACATATTATTTTCCCATTAATTGCCTTTTACAACCTCCATTTTTTAATAGATTAAAACAAAATTGCCGGTTATAAAAAGAGGAAAATAATAATGACAATAGGAGCTAAAAGAATAGCACTTTGCATGCTACACATTTTTGTCACTTTCTTCTACTTCCCATCATAGTCGTCGTAATCGTAGTCATGGTCATAGTCATTTTGATCACATAAAGAAAAATTAACTAAATTAATATATATCTAAAAGCACAAAAATTAAATTTATAAGGTTTAACAAGTGAATGATTGAATCATGAAAAAAATTTATGTAGAATATAAATTAATAAGTATTTATCTTGGAAGAGGTAATTTTTCGTAACTCTAAACTTTTATTTTGTTATTTTGAGAATTTATGTTAGTAAGAATATTTGTTTGACAACCAAAATTAATATGGTTAGGTCATACTCATGGCATAATCAAAGATCATTTCCAGGAGGTGTTTGGTATAACTTATATAAGTGCATTTATTTATATCACATTATTTTTTTATTTTTTTAATATATTTTTTTATAAAAAAATTAAAAAATATATTTATTTAAATTATTTCAAATACCTAATATTTTAAGATAACCCCATATATGGGGCACACTCCCACCAAAAGTGGAGAAATGTTTTGCCTTGATTACTTTTATCAAGAGGTATCATGTGCAATTCCGGAGTTATGTTAAGAATTTCAAAAATTATATTAAAATTTTTGTCAAATATTTTATATGGGTGTAGAACTCACACAACGTAAGTCATATGTGGATCTCACACTCATGTGAGATATTTGATAGAATTTTTAAGATCTCTATCATTTTTGTTAACAAAATTAGGTACACCATGTTTGACACTAAGCTCAAGTTTCGTTTGGTTTTACTTTACATTTTTGGCTAAAAAAGTACAAAAAGACAAAATTAACTACATAAGCCAATAAAATAAAATGTCACATCAAAATCATAATCATTACATTTTTTTCTCAGTCAAACCAAACAAGGTTAAAAAAGATAGGCTAAAAAAGTTCCACCACAAAAAATGCAGTTAAAAAAGCCAATATCAAACGAAGACTCAGTTTGGTTATATAAAAAATATACAAAAGAAAAGAATTTTTTATTTTGAAAAAGAAAGTAATGGAAATTAAATTTTTTTATACAACTTAAATTAGGTTCTTAATTAGGCTTACGATTTGTAGCAAAATATAGAGGAAAATTTATTTTTTTCACAAAACTTAACAATACTTATTTTGCTCCCCTCTTGGTCTGTATTTCTCTCCCCAACTTTATATTGTGATTACAATTTTTTCCATCATTTGCTTGCAAATTTTTTTATATATTCAAATGCATAAAAGAATATAAATTTTCATTCTATTTTTTACGGTTTTCACTTTCAATCATCTATTTATAAACAAACAGAGCCTAACTCCATTTTATATTCATGAGAAGTGGTGCTAATGTAAGAGTGTCTCATTTTGTAGATTCACTATACATTTATTCATCAACAAATGTGGGTCTCAATTTTTTTTTTCCACACAAAAATTATTTATATATATAACTCATTATATTTAAAAATTACAATACTGGTCAATTGTGAAAAATCACATTACAACTTTACAGAGAATGAGTAATTATCATTTCTATCCTAAATTTTATATTAACGGTGTGTTTAATTAATAATAAGAGCCTAATAATTGTATAGACCAAAAAATAAAAATAAAAAAATGATAGAAAATTAACATGACACTATTAAATGGGTCATCACATGACATCCGTGACTCATGTGATAATTTCTCATGAAAAGAGTTTTAGAAATATTAGACTAAGGCCTCGTTTGGGAACAGGCTAATTTAGTAACTTTTTGGCTATTTGGCTAAAAAGGTAGGTAAAAAAAACTTGTATGTTTGGGATGACTTTTTGACTAATTACGAAAAGATGTGCAAAAAGTAGAGAGAAAAGAGAATCTTTGACTTTTTGGTATGGGTTGTTGGTTTTTTTGGCTAATTTAGTAACTTTTTGACTAATTGACTAAAATAGCCTCATGCCAAACGAGGTAAGTTTGATTAGAATGAAAATAGTAGAAAATGGGACAAATATATATATATATATATATATCTATATATATATAATTATTTAGTTTGTTTACAAATTTTTTTATATAACTCATGACAGCATAATAACTATACTTTTAGGTGATTTTCTGTAGTGTTCTGATGATATTTCGGTGGCCCACTTTACACTTCTAAAGTGTAGATTTATACTTCTAGAGTATAGATTTACAGTTTTTGAGTGTAGATCTAGATTTTTTAAATTTTCGACACCTACAATGGTTCTCTCTTCTCTCAAGCTTTCTTCTATACCATTGCGGGTGTACTTCCTTCTCAACTCTAACCTTTGGCTGCGTTCGATGTTCGGCAGCAGAGTTGGGCAACAGTAACGGGGACGATGTTAATAAAGACGGCGGGCTTTCAAACAGATCTTACTTTCCAAACCACATTTTTAATAAGATCGGTGGTTTTCCCTAATTGTTTTTTTGTCGGATTTATGTTTTATTTTTTATTATTTGTTTTGTTGTTTAGTTGTTTGGTTGGAATGACGCCTTAAAATCTTATTTTTGTAATGGTATTGTTTTTTAATATAATGTTTCTCATGTTTTCAAGGGAAAAAAAAAATCCTAAACTTTTAATTTTTGCAAAAAAAACACATAATCGGATTTATGTTTTATTTTTTATTATTTGTTTTGTTGTTTAGTTGTTTGGTTGGAATGACGCCTTAAAATCTTATTTTTGTAATGGTATTGTTTTTTAATATAATGTTTCTCATGTTTTCAAGGGAAAAAAAAAAATCCTAAACTTTTAATTTTTGCAAAAAAAAACACATAAAATACAATAAAATTTGAATTTATTATAAAAATATTTACTTATAATTAAAAATTTTATTTTTTGCTAAAATTTTCATTCTAACTAAATTCATATATATATTTTTATTTTATTTTTCTTTTATTTCACTTCACTTTTTATTATTTTTATTTTTCAATCATTAAGGTCTCTTTGGTACAGCTAACTAAGCCAACTTATTAGCTTATTATTTTATTTCACTCAAATTATCTCTTTAGCTTTTTCATGTTTTTTTATAATAAATAAAAAATCAAATTTATAAATTATATCCAAAACAATGCTAAATGGTGACCATAGGTCTCATTTAGAGACTAAATATTTTAGTCAAAAAAATCAAAAACTCATTATAAATTATTATATCACTCACTCTGTTTTTTTACAAATTTTTTCATAAAAAACTAAAATATTAGTAAAAGATTTTAGGATAAATTACAAATGCACCCCCTGAGATTTGATTAAAATACAAATCACCTCATGTAGTTTTGAAAATGACATTCTACCTCTGGAGGTTTCTAATTTCATAACAAATCACTTATTTTATTAATAAATCATCAAATCAATTAATACTTTTTAATAATGTTAGAAATATGTTTTAATTAGCAATTTAGATAATTTTATTATTGTATAAAAGAACAATTATAAATTTTATTATTTTAATTAATTTTGTTAAATAAATTTTTTTAGGGCAAATTACAACGCCTCCTCGAGGTTTGATGAAAATACAGATTCTCCCTGAGGTTTGAGAAATTACAAATTACCTCTTGAGGGTCAAATTTTCATAACAAATTAGAAGAAATTAGGGGAGAATTTGTATAAAAATAAAAATTTCAGGGAACAATTTCTTATGGAAATATAGACCTCAAGGGGCAGGATGTAATTTCTCAAACCTCATAAAAGAATCTGTATTTTCACCAAATTTTGAGAGAGTGTTTGTAATTTGGCCATTTTTTTTTAACAAAAAAATATTTATAATTTTCTAGATTATAGAGAACCATTTATATTTTAAACAAAGTTAACAAATGTATTTATAATTTACCAAGACTTTAACAATGAGTGAGATCGAAACCGACCCAAATACGCAAAGTAATCACCACCAACGACCATTCAAATACTTATCTCCAACGCAAGCAAACTAATAAATTATTTTCAACATAGATATTTTCTGTGTAAAAAGAAAATCGAAAGAGAATCAGAATAATCGATCACTCTCAGACGATTACAGAGAAGAGAGAGAGAGAGAGAGAGAGAGATGAAGTTGGTTATGTCATTGAGTGTTGTTGTAGTGGTTGTGCTCTCTTCGTTCTGCGAATTAGGGTTTTCCAGAGACGACGGTTTTATAAGGATGAAACCAATCCTCGGAGGAATTCACGATTGCATGGGGAATCAAAACAGTGCTGAGATTGAGAGCATTGGCCGATTCGCTGTCCAAGAACACAACAAGAAAGAGGTAATTTCGAGATCTTCAATTCACTTTTTTATTTTTTTTTATCTTTGATCATTGTGATGATATGAATTTTCTTTTGATGATATTGTTTTTGTAATTCCTGAGATATCTCTCTATATCTGCACGAATCTCTCTCTGAAAACAAATCAATATTCCCCTTTGTATATGCCCCAAAACAAATATTAAAAAAATCCAAAATATTCATCTAATTTGATTCGAAATTTGAGTAAAAAGCTTGATTTGATATGAACTACTCCAATCCTTTCATCAATTTTCCATCAAAATCTTTTTAAAATTTCCCTCTTATCCCAAATTTCATTTTCCATCAAATTTGAAGGAAAAGAAATCATCTCAATGCTTCATTTTTTTTAAAAAAAAAATTTCATCAAATTCTAATTTGATGAAGAATTTGATTAGTAATTACTTCTCAATTTCATGAGAAAAATGAATCTGCCTTAATTTGATGAACGTTTGATAAAAGGATTGGAGATGATTTTTTAGTACTGTTTCATCTAATTTAAATTTGATGAAAGAAAAGGCGAAGGATTGGAGATGCATTTAACTGACCCATAAATCACAAACAATATAACAAACTCAATGAAAGAATGGAAAAGCCAATCAAACAAAAGTCATGCTTCAAAACACACACAGAAAATATAGTAACTGAAAAAAAAATATATATATATTTTAAATTAAAAAAATTATTAAGGAACCTAAAGCTAAAAAGAAAGGCATCTAATTTGTCCACAGATGCATATGTATTTATTTGCATATAAATTTAAATACATGCATCACTTACTAAACACATACATATATGATTTAAGTACCAACTATTTTATATTAAACAAGGAATTAAATGAAATGAAAAGGAAAAATTGGGGAAAACAATTATCTATTCTATTATATAAGGCACAAACTTATCTTTAGAACATCTTTTTAGATAAGAATTGTCACAAATTTTTTTTTTTTTTTTTCACTTTTCTATTTTCACTTTTCTATAAATGTCAATAAATTTGTTAATTTCTCACAGGCTATTTCTAAATTTGGATATTTTAAAACTCCACATTCCAGTGCTAAACAATTTTCAAATTCAACTGATCTTTTTCATTCATCAAATTGGCGAAAAGTTTAGATGTATAATTACAAATACCAAAGAGGAACAATATGAACATTTGCATAGTGAAGATGGAAATGGTATGCTGATCTGATCCCTCATAATGAGTATAAATATCATGAAAAGTACCAACTTAATGCCAAAGAAAAGTTATGCAGGAAGATAATTTAGTGGGAAATATATGTTGTAACAACTATCTTTCAAAGCAGTGTAGTTTTATTCCATTTTACTTTAATTTATTTTTTTAATTTTCCTTATACTTTTCTTGATCTCACTTAGTTTTGAATGGTGCTTTCATTTCCATCGCATTGCCCTTTTGTACAGAATGCACTTCTTGAGTTTGCAAGAGTGGTGAAGGCCAAAGAACAGGTGGTTTCTGGCAAGATGTACCATCTTACCCTGGAGGCCGTTGATGCTGGTAAGAAAAAGATATATGAAGCGAAAGTTTGGGTGAAGCCATGGATGAACTTTAAGCAGTTGCAGGAATTCAAGCATACCCATGATTCCCCTTCAGTCACTTCTGCTGGCCTCGGTGTGAAACGAGGTAATGGACTCCACTCTATTCGTTTTTACAATTATTCGGGGCTTAAGATAAGTATTTGATATCTAGATGCACATTTAAAGGTGATAATTGCACCTAGAGGCAGGGAGAGGATAATAGTAGTTGCTCTGAAATTTTGCAAAATTTTAGTTGCCTGAATTTGGATCGCTTCATAAATTCAATTTAAGTATATGTAGAAATGAGGACAACCTTCATGTGTTATCATAATTAAAGAACCGGAACAGACTTTATAGTGGAAGCCACTGTCTAGATTAACTTAAAAATCTACTTCATCAATGAGAGTGTATAAAAGTCCATTATTTTCCTTTTACATTTGGGTATGAAAACAAGAACTTCGTTATAGAAGTAATGCAACACTAGTGTGTCTAGATGTTACAGTGCCCAAATTATATCAAACCTTGCTTTAAAAGGCTAGCATAGCATTACTTTGTCTCTCTTTCATAGCTTCCTTGCAAGCCATCCTAATCCTGATAATACTAAAATCAGAAGAACTTTCCGCTTTCCTAACAACAAATGCTGCTAAAGGAGCTAGATCACCTAGAAATTCACATCCTTTTGGTACTTGAACTGAACTTTTGAAGCAAATCACTTTCCTGTTATCATCGGTCTTGACTACTTGAGCAAATCACGTTCTGTCATAAAACTCTAGCCATGAATGCTTTTTATAACCAAAAACCCACCACAATTCCTATTGTTGGCTGCATTATCCAAATTTCCTAAAACTGTCCTATATCTGGTTTTAGCAACATACACTTTTGGATTATCAGTTTCTTGTTATTTTTTTTGCCACAGTAGTATATGTATGAACTTAGTTTTATACAAGCACAATATATGTCAAAACAATTTTAAACAAGCGTTCACTTGGTTGAGTCGTTGAATCATGAACTGGCATTTTCATTGTGTGGAGATCTGGTTTGGTTATGATAAAATACATGAAGACTTGAGAGTAGTTAATGGTACTATGTATGTCAAAAAGAAACTGATAAAAAGAGGATATGGAGATGTCATATGCTTCAAAATAGAGTATATGGCATCTAGAACCTTTTTTTTCCCTGTCCGAGAGGATATGTGTGATATTGAGTGAGTGATCAGGCCTGTGGTGTGATCAGATGGTCACGGACCAGACAAATTTGCCCCTAAAAATATATTTTTTTAAATTGTTGTCAAGGGATAAAACCGTAATTTACCATCTAAAAATCAAATTTTGTAGCTGACAATGTAGGCGCTGTGCAGGCCTAATTTTTATTTTTATTTTATTTTATTTTATTTTATTTTATTTTTTTTGAAAAAGCTTGCAAAATGGCTTTTTGGCTAAAATTTTTTTTTAGGCTATAATAGCCGGCCAAATCACTTCCCAAACAGCCCCTATGTATGTCAAAAAGAAACTGATAAAAAGAGGATATGGAGATGTCATATGCTTCAAAATAGAGTATATGGCATGTAGAACCTTTTTTTTCCCTGTCCGAGAGGATATGTGTGATATTGAGTGAGTGATCAGGCCTGTGGTGTGATCAGATGGTCACGGACCAGGATGGCGATCAGTGCCAACTCATGACCCTGTGGTCCAAGGTGCAGCACATCATGCTGTGAAGACCATCCAGCAGAGATCCAACTCGCTGGCCCCATATGAACTACTAGATATCCTTCTAGCTAAGGCCGAGGTCGGCAATATTCTCTTTGAATTATATTATCAAATCTCTCTCTCATCAGTTTATTTTTATTGATGAAGATGATATGAAATTGACAAATTTTCTCCTGTTCAATGCAGGTAATTGAAAATTATACCAAATTTGCTATGCTTCTGAAGCTTAGGAGGGGAACAAAGGAAGAGAAGTTTAACGTACTAGTAAATAAGAACAGAGAAGGAAAGTTTTATTTGAACCAGATGAAACAAGATCACTCCTGAATGTGTTACCTTTCTGTTGTGTTAAAAATATTAAAATTAATACTGCCTATTATGTTAAAAAAGTGTATTGATACCTATGTTTGGCAGCTAAACCTGCTAGTTGTAAATTTGTGAACTGGCATCACTTGCTGTTATATAGATATGGCTTTAATAAGTTCTTTTCTTTTGTTGTGGTTGTGGTTTGGCAGCGAGTTTACCTTTAGGCTGTGTTGGATCTTGAGTTTGAGTAGGGATTTATGAAAGGAAAAGAAGAAAAAAAAACTATAATTTCTTATATGGAAGGTGTATGTATATGTATGTAGTTTGTGGCAATTTGGAATACAAGTCTGGGAAAACCCAGTCGTGGGAAAATAGGGCACTCTTGTTGATGCTTTAACTGAGAACTCGCCCTTAAAATGTTCACCTGATTGATAATAATTCTGAAACGTTGATGCTCTGTGTTGCCTTCATCGTTGTTAGGCTTTCAAATATATGAAAGCTCCTAGTTCCTAAATGGCCCCATTCTCCCACATTAAAGTGCAGAAATAAAATGTCAAACATATCTAAGGTGACCTAGCTTATCAATGGATTGGATTTAAATCAGATCACACATAATTCAAATTCGATCTGATTAAGCAACATATCCAATATGATCCGATCCAAAATTCAGAAGATCCACCGAGAACAGAACCTATTCAAATCCAAATCCAATTTGTTTGTGTTTGTTCTTTTTGGTGACATACAACAGCTATCATTAACTTGTTGAAAATTGTATCTTTATTTGAGTTATTAAAACTATCATAATCATATTTGACAAATGATACAAACATCACCCTCTGTTTAATTAAATATTATACGATTGTATTTGCTGCCCTATGAAACTGTTCTAACTTGAAAATTGTTGCATTGTTTTAACCTGAAATTTAAAAAAAATAATAAAAATAAAAATAAAAATGTAATATAACAATGTTGGTCTAATAATGTACGATCAAGAATTGTCAAAAAGATACAAATGAGCAGTAATGTCCCTATATTTTAAAGAAGTGCAAGCACATGAAGACTAATCACAAGTGAAACAAAAAAAAAACATGCAAAAGGCAGGTGGGATGTCAACCTGCACAAATGCTTGTATATTTGATTTTGGTACACCCACAAATTACTTGGAACACATTACATTCTCATTAAGAGTTCAATTATGCACATGAAGACTAATCACAAGTGAAAAAAAAAAAAAACATGCAAAAGGCAGGTGGGATGTCCACCTGCACAAATGCTTGTATATTTGATTTTGGTACACCCACAAATTACTTGGAACACATTACATTCTCATTAATGCTGTGTTTGGTTGGGGGATTTGGGGAGGGATATGGAAAGAGAAAGGGAAAAGGTGTGTGAAACTAGGTGAAATGTAAGTATATTTTGTTCACATTTTACCTAACTTTTCATTTTCCCTTTCCAAATCCCCCCTCAAATCCTCCAACCAAACCCAACGTAAGAGTTCAATTATGATGAAAACCTAGGAATAAAAATGACAAATAACAAGTAAAATTATATATCATCAGCAACGCGTTTGTACAAGTGAGCAGGCAATCTTGGTTTAGCAACAGCTTGTACTGGGGTCTTCATGTAGGTAACCAATCCAGGGTTCTCTGACATGTCGATCTCTTCTGGTTTCACCCCTTCCGAAGGTGTCCAGACAAAATGGTGTAGAAGGTGACCGAGCATAGATGTTACCAAGTTGATCCCAAGTTGAGCACCGGGGCAAACACGCCTCCCAGCTCCAAAAGGCAATAATCGGTAATCATGACCCTTCATATCAACATCCTCCTCAAAGAATCGTTCAGGTCGGAATTCCATAGGGTTTTTCCAAACTGCTGGATCACGAGCTACAGCCCATACATTTACATGAACATTAGACCCTTTAGGGATGTCATAGCCACCGATCTTGACATTGGCGTTGGCCCTGTGGGGAAGCATCAATGGGGTTGGAGGGTGCAACCTCAATGACTCTTTGGCTATACATTGTAGGTAAGGGAGGTTGGAGAAGTCGGGTTCAATCATGACGCGTTCAGATCCAATCACACGGTCTAGCTCCTCTTGAGCTTTTTGTTGCACCCTCGGATTCTTGATCAGCTCAGCCATTGCCCACTCAACCGAAATAGCAGTAGTGTCCATGCCTGCAGTGATCATGTCCTGCATATATAACATACTTTGTAAGTCAATAAAAAATTGCCAAAGTATTGCTAATCAATGCATATGATGTCTTTTACTGCAAATAGATAGACTTTACCCAAAGGAGACCAATAATGGTGTCCTCGCTAAGATCATATTTCTCTTGCAGAGTGAGCAATGCATCGACAAAATGCTGTTGGGCACCGCCACTCTTCTGGCGAGCAAGCGTGTGTTCTTCCATGATAGCTCTGGTGAGTCGGTCCCTACGTGCACCATGCTTGGCGAAGGCCTCTTCCTCGAGAGGGAACATCCAACGAAGCCATGGAATGTGCTCTGCCATGGCAGGCGATGCTCCGAGCTTGACCCCGTTGGCTCCAATAGCCTTGAATTCAAGACCTTGCTCATCCATCACCCCCTCTGAATTCATAAAACGTTTTCCAAATGCTAGTCTTGTTATGTTGTTCAATGCTACTTCTCCCAAATATTTCTTCACTAACAAGGTTTTCCCATAGTTATCTGCATCCAATGCATTTAGAATTTCATAATCACAATCATTCACATATATTTATATGTCATTGCATTGCATTAGTTAATACATAAAAGGAAGATGATTCTCTCGACAATCAACTCGAGGGTACTGTTGGCATCCATAAAACTCACTACCAGTTTCATTTCAATAACTTGAATCGTTCATTTTGTTGGATTATATATGTAAACATACATGAAAAAAATAAATGGACTTAATAATTATAGCCATATAATTATATAATGTTTTTATTCAAACGAACAAATAGCTTATTTTTAAAATTATAACTATTAATCATTTTTGTAAAGACAAATAACAAAAATTATCTGACTATTAATATTCGATCATTTTTTTTAATAAATAATTTATATAATTTTACAAATAAACATTTTAAATTATTAAAATAAGGTATATAGATAGCAATTTACATGTTATGTGGATAGAGTGGGCTTAATGTATGAAAAATTTACCGATAAATCTCATATTGAGAAATGGCGAACCATTTAATTCCAAAGATTTTTTTATAGACCAATTAGTCTCATTGATTTTGGAAAAGTATATTTAAAATATTATTTGAAAATTGAATTTACGGTTATAACTTTATTTCTATGTTTCCTTCTCTTTTTTTAATTTTTTTATTTTGTGCTACAAAAGTAAGGTATACAATCTATAAGAATCAAATTTGGGATAAATTTTTATATGAGAATATTTTTTATTTGGAAAATATTTTAAAATGAGTAAAAAATGACTTGAAATATGAGATTCTTCAAAAAAAAAAATAAATAAATAAAATAAATCGTTAGTGTACTTTTTCCAAACGTAACACTCTAAAAAACCTCCTTAGTATAACACTCTAATATAACACACAAAACAACTCTTTAGTGTATTTTTTTCAAACGTAACATTTCAAAAAAATTTCTTAGTGTAACACTCTAATATAACACAAAAAAACTCTTTAACGTACTTTTCCCAAACATAATACTCTAATATAACATTCTAAAAAAACTCCTTAGTGTACTTTTCTCAAATGTAACGCTCCAAAAAAAATGTGGGATTTTTTAACCTATTCCAAAAGGATTACAAATATTCATCAGTAGGTTTTGGCAACTGTATAATTTCAAACTGTGAGTATTACGTTTGAAAAAAGTACAGTAAATAGTTTTTTAATATTTTTGTGTGTGTTACGTCGGAGTGTTATGTTTGGAATTATATTAAGTGAAATATTATGTTTGGTTTTTGTACACTAAGGAATTTTTTTATTTTTCTTATTTAAATTTTATGTGTTACATTGGAGTATTATGTTTGGGATTACATTGATTAGAGTGTTATATTTGGTTTTCATATACTAAGGAATTATTTTATTTTATTTTTTTAATGTTAAATTAAAGTGTTACGTTTGAAAAAAATATACTAAGGAATTTTTATTTTTTATTTTTTTGTGTGCGCGTTATGTTGTTACGTTTGGAAAAAATATATTAAAAAGTTTTTTAGTGTGTTACATTAGAGTATTACGTTATTTGAGTGTTATATTAAAGTGTTAAATTTTTATTGGTAATGTGGGATTTGTTCCAAAAAGAGTGAAAATCCAAAACTTCTATAGTGCAAATTGTCCAATTGTATAATTTTACATTTGGAGAAACCCATTTTTATTCCTAAAAAATTTAACTCAAATATGTAATGGACATCATATTTTACGTAATTTCCACTTTAATATAACTTTTGAGTTCATAAAAAAAGAAGAAGAAGAAGAAGATTTATTGATACTTCACCCTAATTTTATTTATTTTTTAAAGTACTATTAACTAGTTATGGTTGAAAAGTAGCTTTGCTTGGTTGCCTAAATAATGTTTTTTTATTCATTTATTGAAAATAAAATTTTGACCTAAAATACGATACAAATTTAATGGTTGATAAAATCATGTAATGTTGTAATTATTCACTGTCCAAAACATTTCCTTTACTCTGTTAAATTATAGTAGGCATCTAACGGATCTTTTTATAATAGTTTTGACTTAATTTAATGATTTATGTTTAAAGTTGAAATAAAATTACATTATTTTAAAATATGTTATGCTAATGTCATTTTACTTTTATTCTAACTCGAATCTAACTCGAATAGTTAAATTATGTATTTTGTTAATGTGCATGATAATACCATTGCAAAAAACTATGAATAGAAAATCGAACTCAGCAATTTTTTTTCTTTTTTTTTCTTTTTACTTTTACTTCTATTTTTCCTTTTAACAAAGGCCGTAGTTGTCGGGTGTGTTGTTCAATTGTCAAATTTAATATGATATTTTGTATTTTAATAATTAATCTCTACCTATTGACTAGGGACGTTCGCGATTCGGTTGCGGTCGAGAAATTTTTAATTCGTTATCTGTTTACTAGATTGGGGATTTGAAAAAAATCAATTCGCATCCGTTCGTCAGATTGACAAATACAGATTGAGCGGATTAATGGATATATGCGAATTGATTTGGCGGTTTAAACTTTTACAAATTTTGAATATAATATAACAACTTGCCAATATTTTTTTTATAACAATCCAACTCAATATAATCAAAAAATTATTAAATAAATTGTCAAATATCAATAATAAATATATATAAGAAAACCATGCATTATTAAAAACTATTTCATTATTTTTTTTTATTCAAAACTATTTTGTTTTTTTTTAAATGACAAAATTAAATCTTATATTTTTCACACAAAAATATCAAATATCAATACTTGTCATTTGATAAAAAGATTTTTAAATTGAAAATAAAACAGAATATTTTAACTCTCCTTCAATTAAAAACACAAATAGAATATCTAAACAAATTAAAAATACAAAATTTTACAAATTAGTAGGAGTGCTCGAAGTTTGACGGTTTGGTTAGGGCAAAGGAAACTCAAATCCGTCATCTGTCCAAAACTAGGCAGATTGAAAAAAATCAATCTGCGACTATCTGCTCATCATCACGTATTCGTTCAAAATAGAACAGATCGGTTCAATTCGTTTCGATCAATTTGAACGGATCAAAATATTCGCTGCTCACCGATACTATTGGCAATAAAAATAAAAAAAAACAAACAAAATCAAACTAGCCAACCACTGACTAAGGTAGCCTAACCTAAGGTTAGGTGAGTGGGACCCATACGAAACTTAAGGTTATTCATTTGCCTTTTTTTTTTGTAATTATCTATTAATTCACCAATCCAAAAGTATTTATTTTTTCATAAAAAAATAATTTTTCCCAGCATAATACAAAAAGATGAAAAACTGTGACTATTCATTCATTTGAGTGTTCAGAACCCATATGATGAGATGGTCCAATAAAACACAACAGAGCTACATGCACCACAAATTTTACAAAAACAAAAAACAAATCACAAAAAATGATATTCGTCAAAAAAAACAAAGTTACGGTTCAAGAAAAATCACTCCTACTATAAAAAAAATTAAAATTTTAGAGATTAAAATTATTTTTTAGAGATTAAAAAAAAAAAAAAAAAAACAAAGTTACGGTTCAAGAAAAATCACTCACACTATAAAAAAAATTAAAATTTTAGAGATTAAAATTATTTTTTAGAGATTAAATCTTTTTGTTGGAAAAAATATCATTATTATATTTTTAACAACAAAAATTAGACATTAGTGATGAATTATTATCTATTTGGAACCAGATTTTTTGTCTTAAAAAATAAATCATTTTGAGATCAAATTATTTTGTCCCTAAAAGTCCATTTATTAGTGACATTTTCAAAATTTTGTTGCTAAAAATCTTATTTTTAACTTTTCGGGACAACTTTTTAGCGACTATCCTTATGATGATAGAAATTGATTCATAAATGTTTTTTTCAACAAATTTTTTACTTTTAGAAACTAAAATATTTGATCTTTTAAATTCTTATATGTTGTAGCGTGATCTGTTCAAAGATGTAGTTTGAAAAAAAAAAATCTGCTTTAAAACCCACTGTCTCTATCAACATCATCCCCGTTACGGCTGTCTAACTCAGCCGCCGCTACTGTCGAAAAAAGAAGTACACCTACAATGATATAAGAGAAGTCTTTGGAGATGAGAGAATCATTCTGAGTGTTCAAAATTTAAAAATTTATGTTAAAATTAGACTAAAAACTCTCAAAATCTCTATTTAGAACATAAAAAATTTAGATTCACATTCTAAAATTACATATTTATATCCTAAAAATATAGATCGAAACTTTAAAAATATGAAATATAGCGCCGAAATGTCATCGCAACACTACCGCTGCATCGTGGAAAATCAACTAGAAAGAGAGTCTCTCTGGACCTTCACAAATTTTAATGATATATGACAAGACTACCATCACAATGCTAGAAAGATTAAAACAATGAATAGACATGAAAATCGAAATTAATATATATATATATAAAAAGTCTACAAACATATAAAGCGGTCATAAAATTAGACACATAATAATCATGTTAAAATTTTATTCATTCATCTATATTATATATTTAGGGGTGGTTTAAAATGTTGTAAATAAATGTATTTTTTAAGTTTTTATAAAAAAAATATGTAGAAAAGTAGTGAGAGAATATTAATTGATATGATTCAAATAAGTATATGTATGAAAAAAAATATATTTTTTTAATACATACCAAACAAGTACTTAGTTATATATTCTTAGCATGATTATAATAATGAATAAATTATAGTGACTTTCCCTAAAGGGCTCTGATTCGTAATTCGAATTCGGAGGCTCGAATTTGGCCCGAATTCAGAGAAGAGGAAGAAGAGAAGAAGAAGAAGAAGAAGAGAAGAAGGAGAAGAAGAATTGGACTGGAGGGGGCCATCAAAATCGGAGGTGGAGGCGGAGGCGGAGGCGGTCGGAGGCAGAGGCGGAGGTGGGGCTGAGCGACGCCAACGAGCTGTGTTCAACGATGCCGACGAGCTGTGTCCAACGAGCTCTGTTTCTCTCTCGCCTCTGCTCTACTCTCTCTCGCCTGTGTTCAACGAAGAAGAAGAAGAAGAAAAGAAAGAAAGAAAAGGAAGAGAAAGAAAAAGAAGGAAAAAAAAAATGGCAAAACGACGTCATTTTGCCACTTGAGCCAAAATCGAGTCACGAATTTCGAGCTACCAGTCATTTTTCTTCCCTAAAATTAGGAAACAATACATAAGTACGAATTTGATATAACTCATATTATGATCTCTTTTATATTTAATATATATTTTATTTTATTTTATTTATCTTTATATTTTTGCATCATCATGTATTTAAGGGTGGTTTGGAATGTCCTAAATAAGTGTATTTTTTTAACTTTTTTATAAAAAGATGTGTAAAAAAGTACAGAGAAGATGTTGATTGATGTGACCCAAAAAAATAAAAAGATAGACTAAAATAGATTATGCCAAACAAGGCTTCATTCTAGTCCTTTTATTCTTACTAAAAAAAAAAAAAAGTCAATATAATTAAAACTGTAAAATTTATTGTCTTTTTTTCAAATCTTGGACCATATTAATATAATTTATTATAAAAAAAAAAAAGAAAAGGAAAAAAAAGGAGAAAAAAACAAAGGAAAGCAAAAGAATAAGAATATACCAGGGTTGGTGGAGTCATTGAAGATGGACTCAATCATGGCAGTAACTTCATCTTCCCTAATAGGTCTAAGAGCTTCAAGCCTCTTTGGAGTAAACAATTCAAGGTTACAAACCTTCCTAACCTTAACATAGTGAGGCCCATAGTCGGCCCAAATAAGGTCCTGCCCATCTCGGCTAAACTTAGCCGCCGATCGGCTCCGATGCCGATCAGCCAATTGTTGATCATGTTCTTTAAGCACTTCTTTAGCCAACTCTGAGCTCGAAACTATCACGTTCAGTGTCGAGCCGAACCAAACCGATATAATTGGGCCGTAGACTTGGGCCCAATCCGCAAAGCACCGGAACCTCACCGGTTTTATGTCGTACAGGTTGCCGACGATTGGAAGCGGGCGGGGGCCCGGTGGGAGCTTGAATTTGAGCTTTTGGTAGAGATAGTAAGAGAGGAAGATGAAGAGGAGGGTTAGAGAGATGGGTAGGAGAGGTAAAGCCATTTTTTTGATGAAGAATTGGTCGAGATTGGTTGGGGGTGGTTTTTTGGCTAAAGGAGATGGTTGGAGGGAGGTTGATATAGAGGGGAACAAAATGGGGTTAGGTGAGTGGATTTTCTTTGCATAATTTAATGATACTCTAATTTTAAAATAATATATACATACATATATACAAAGTAATTAACTTTTACTCAAAAATATACAAATTTAATTGAATCTCAAAAAATAACATTGGATAATTTTTTTGACAAAAAAAATTTGGGTATTTAGACTTTTCAATATATATTGAAAAATGTTTTGGAATTCTTATTCTTGAGCTCTAAAGTCAATTCTAATGTGCTGGTAGTAAGTCTCACCCACTGTGTGTGATGGATTAGTCTTAGTTTGTTTATTTTTTTTTTCTTCTCCTTATCATGTCATTAGTGTTCCATTAAAATACAAATATAAGTATTCTGAATCATTGCTAATATATATTTATATATATAATTTCAAATAATAATGTGACGATGGTATTTTTGTGAGTAATGTTAAAGGGATTTAGATTATTTTTATTATATAGTTATAATGTAGGATCTTTGTTAGATATTCAATAGCTATAAAATAATGTCAACTTAACACTTTCAAATTATGAAAAATTTGTTACACCTATTGTGATGATTTTTTCATAACTATTAGATGATATAATTGAAATCCTCTGCTATAATCATGTAATAAAGAAAATATTAATATATGTTGACTCTTAAAATGTCATCTCTAAACTTTTTTATAATGATGTGGCTAGTGCTTGGATCTTAATTAGTTGATTCTTAAATAAATCAATAATATAACAATGCACGTCATTAAAAGTAGTAATAATGTTTTAAATTGTTAAAACTTACCATCTTACCATCACCTACTACACCTACCACCACCTACTACCATCACCTACTACACCTACCACTTCACTTCACCTACTACATTCCCTATATAAAGAGTACCACACCATCTGTAATTTACATCAATACAACAATCAATAATACAGCAATTTTAACATAGTATCAGAGCAAGGTTAAAGATCTTGGTGTTCTTCGCCTTCCGGCGGGCGGCAACCTTGCCTTGACCGCTCGCCGGAGCTCAACCAATTCAAACCTCCCTCTCCCTCTTGAGTCTTGGCCGAAAGGCGTTTGAGAAACTCGTAGGTAGTGATCATGGTGGTTGCTGACATTAACATGGAAGCCCAGCGAGGTCCAAGTCCTCTGTAACAAGCCATCCATCCACCTTCTCTTACCAAATTCCGAACAGTTTGTCGCATTATTGGTACCCCTTTACGCCCATTATTATTCTCATCTCCATCAAAAACCTGTAACCTTGTCTTGATTGTATCAAGTGGCATCGCCATCAAAGCCGAAACCCCACCTGCCATGGCTGCACTCACCCCCTGAACTGCCATTACAGTCTTCGAATCTGGTCTAAAACTGTTCCCACCATTCTCATTCCTGCACGAGTCATCGTGTTGCAGTTTTCGCCGTCGTCGACGAGCGTGTCAGCGCAGATCCATCCTCTGGTGGTCTTCAACAGCTGTGACTGCTACGTCCGGCGACCCGACCAGGCCGAGCGAATCATCGGCACTCTTCTCGGCTCCGTCTTGCCTGATGGCACCGTTGATATTCGCAACTCTTACGCCGTTCCTCACAACGAGTCCTCTGATCAGGTTGCACTGGATGGTGGCTTCAATAACTCCATACTCTCTCTCGTTCTGTGGGAGCGTCCATGGCTGCAACCCAGCTCTACTCATTTTCATGGAGGTTCTCTGTTGAACCTCGAGCCACCACCTCCGCATCCACAGACCACCAACTGGACCCCAACGGCTAATCAATCCCCCCTCTACTCTTTTGTTGATTTTATATATATATATATATATATATAGGAGCACCTCCCCAGACCCACTTTTTTTTTTTTATCATCATCAACTTTCATCTTTCCCTTCACGCTTTACACACCACACCACCCAACTTGTCTCCACTTTCTTTTCTTTTTTTATATTTGTTTTTAATCCATCTTTTGCAAAGCCACCAAAAGTTTGCACACCCACCATCATTTTCTTTTATTTTATTTTACCCCATCATCCCCCACTTTTTTGCACATACTCATACTTCTTTTTATTTTTTAAACCAATCTTCTTTCTCGTTTTCATTCCCCCGATAATTTATATATTTTATTAAGAACACCAAAAAAAAAAAAAAAAAACCAAAACAAATCACACATTCTCATGTCCTTCCTACCATCCGAGTTTGCACAACCCATTTGTTTTATTCATATCAGGGGATCAACCCCGATCACAATTACAAAAAAAAAAAAAAAAAAAAAAAAAAAAACACACAAAACACAAACCAACAACAACCCACACAAACACCCACCCACAGGCGGGATTTTTCTTCTCTACTCTGCAGCCGGTCTCTTCTTCTTGCCTCCGTCCTGGGTGGCCCTTGCCGGTGTTGCCTCCGTGTTTCCCACTCCACTGGGCATGATCACTACTCCCTGCTCCTCCACTGCAGCATATGGCGGCCCCCCAAATCGGAACATCACGGAGACCGACCAGAAAGAAGGAGAGTAGGCATGCGATTGAGAAGAAAAGCAGTAGTAAGAATTGTCTCACCCCAGAATGGAGCCGGAACGGAGATAGAGAGAAGAAGCGACCTAGCTGTCTCAAGGAGATGACAATGTTTACGCTCGACTCGACCATTTTGGACAGGTGTATCTATACAAGAAGTTTGGTGAATGGTACCCAAATTGGCAAAATACTCACAAAACTCATTTTTAAAATATTCTCCACCCAAGTTAGATCGTAACACTTTAATTGTAGACCCAAACTGAGTAGTAATCATAGACTAAAAGGTATGGTATATTTGATAAAAATCGAACTTATGAGTCAAGAGATAAACCTAAGTGTAACGGGTGCAATCATCAACAAATGATACATAGTATGCAAAACCTCATTTGATAGGAACAGAAGAAAGGCCCCAAACATCAGTATGAACTAAAGAAAACGATGTATCAGATATAAAAATACTTTTACGAAAAGGTAAGGCCGTTATTTTGGCAAGTTTGCACCCCCGACACTCAGTAAGTTCACTAGGAGAAACTTTACCCAAGATACTTGATTGAGGTAAAGACCATAAACGGTTAGTAGACAAATGCCCTAATCTAGAATGCCACAAATAGAAAGGACTGGATAGAGAATCTAACTAAAAAGAGGAAATAGCAGTCGGAGAGGTTGTCATAGGCAGATACAAGCTCTCCACCACATAGAGGTCTCCAACTCTACGGCCAGTCCCAATCTGCTACTTAGACATCTGATCCTGCACAGAACAGATAGAAGAAGAAAAGATAACATCAAAACCCACTACTGGAAAAAGTAGATATAACCACATTTTTTTGGGGGCATTTTTTTTTTTTAACTTAATAAAACAAAACATCACATCAAACTCATAATCATTTCATTTTTTATCTTACAAAAGTAAAAAAAAAAAAACAAAAAACATATCCAAACGAGACTTTTTAGCTCAAGACTAAAATAACTAAAAATTCAAAAAGTCAATGCACATCCCAAACGAACCCCAAGTTGTTTGGTTAAATATTTAGTAGAAATATATTAGCATCCTTAGCATTACTCAAAAAATAATCTGACATAGGCCTGTGTAAAATACTGCTCAATCTTTTAAAATCGCACCGATCTACACCAATTCATATGATTCTGTTTGCTAATTGCGAATTGAATTTTAAAATTTGTAAAATATTGTCTAATTCGTTAAAATCTTACTGATTCACATTAATCCGTACCATTTTATATGCTAACCGTGAATTGAATTTTAAAATTTATAATCTGTGTTCAAAACTGTTTTGTTCCTCTATAATTAATACATATATTTTTTAACTTTTAATAAAATATCAAAATAAAAATGAGTATAAGAGAGATTTAAAATATAAAATTTGTCATAAATTAATAATTATATGTATGAAAAATATTATGTAAAATTAATTTATGTTATTTATATAAAGAAAAATTATATAAATTAGTATTATATTATATTTGATAATTAATTAAAAATATTTTTCAATCCGTCAATCCATTCCAAACCATCCAAATTACAATTTTTCAATCCATTAAACCGCGTTTGATTTATAATTCTACTTTCAAATCCCCCCAACCACACTACCCACCCCTACCTTATACTGTGCATATGGCCGGGAGGCAGAGAGATAGAGATGGGACATAGCTCTCTCCTAAGAAGTCCTAAGAAGGAAGAAGAAGATGTGCCAACCACCATGGTTCCTTTCTTTTGTTTCTTTTTCCTAATTTTTCTAGTTACTTGTGGTAATGGTTGTATGTTCAATGCTAGTTTACTTTTTCTTATTTCTTAGTCAAAAAGATAAATATAATGATGTAATAGTGATGTTTTTGAAAAATATGAACCAAAATAAGAGATGCTTCAATTTGAAATTAAAAAATCAAAAGAAATTACATCATTATATGAATCAAAGTAAGAGATGTTTTGATTTGAATTGAAAAAATCAATAGAAATTGCATCATTATAAAAAAAAAAAAATTTGTTTGTACCTTAATTAATTAACAAGAAAAAATCACCCTTATGTTTTGGAGGTTATAATTTGAAATTTTCCACTCGCTTTCTAGGATAGGACCTACAATGTACCAAAAAAAGGTATAAAATTTTATTGCATAATTGTTTTGATTATTTAATTAGAGTCATAATAAACATGTGTTTTGTAGTCATCACCATAGAGATAGAAACAATTGATGCTGCATCAATTGTTCACTGAATTACTTATAAATCTTTTGATCACATGATTTGCTTGCTGTATATGTATATGTATCAATTTAAGTAGGTGAATTTTGAGATTTAACTATTCTTTTAAATTTTAATTTGAGATGTCTATATTAAATCCAATGTCAATTCAAAATAAGCTTAAAATAATCCATATAACCACCGATCTTCTCAATGTTATTGCATTTGTGGTATTTTTAACTAGAAAAATGATCCGGACCCCCTTTTTCCCACCCTCTTTGACCCCTTCTTTTTCTGATTGGCCAATTTTTTTTTTTTTTCTTTCTCCTCCAATCACCACCCGCCATGTGTGTGTGGGGTGGTGGAGGTGGTGATTGGAGGGGGTCTCAATCACAAACCTATTATTTGATAGGTACAATGTGTGTTTTGATTTTTTTTAAATTATAAAATATTTTAAGGTGCGTTAATATGTTTTCTAAATATGAGGTTTACAATTTTAAACCAATCAAATAATGTGTATTAGCGGTATGAACAAATTTATTTTCTACTTTGGTCTTGTTTGGCAACTAATTTTTTAATTAAAAAAGTCAAAAAATTATAAAAAATTAAAAAAGTCAAAATGTCATATCATACACATCATTCAAATTTTTTTTTCTTCTTCTCATAACTATTTATTCAATTAAAAAAATTATTCTAAATATACTTAACTTCTTTTACCTTATAAAAAAATCAAAAAATTAAAAAATTATTAAAAAGGTTAAATTACCAAACCGACGCATATTATTATGAGTTAGTGGAAGGGTGGTATTTGGTTTGGTGAGTTTTAGCTTGGGCAGAATGGTGGTGGTGTGGAGTCAGCCAACCAGTATGTTTTGGGACCCACATGGAGTTGGTGGTGGGTTTTTTTTTTTCGGAACAAGAGTTGGTGGTGGGTTGGTGAAAATAGAAAATGCCTTTACTTTATTTGATTAATGGCTTCACAAAGCAATGTGAACAGATAAAAAAACAACATTTTTGGATGAGCCCAATGATGACCATTTTGTTTGATTAGGATTTTTTTTTAGCTAAAAAAATAAATTAAATTAAATAAGTTAATAAGATAAAATATTTTATTTAAATCATAATTTTTTTTATAAAAATTAGAAAAACAAAAAAAAGTCAAATCAAATAAAATTTTAATCCCAAACTGAAAAAATCAGAAAAATTAAAAAACTAATTAAAAATGTCAATTGTCAAACAGCAACTTTGTAATGACAACAAAAGTTGTTGGTAAAGCTTTGTTTGGTTCTATGAAGTATGGACCTATCTATATCATATTTGTATTGGATATCAATACTCTTTAAATACTTATGGATATATATCAGATACTTAATAATAGTATCGGATACTTCTTAATTAATTTTTCATTAATTTTGAAGTATCGGATACTTAGTTTTGAAGTATCGGATGTTCCAAGTCACATATTATCATAGACTTCTTAATTAATTTTGAAGTATCAAATACTCCAAGTCGCGTATTACTTTTTTTATGAAATTATAATTATATCATTTCTTGCATAATATTATAATATAGTATAATTGCGAGGATAAATAAAATATTTTTACAATACTTTGATTAGGTTTTTTTTTATAAAAATAACATAGTA